AAACCTAATGGTGAACATGTACCTGGCCTTTTTGTAACTTTTCTGTTTTTTCTTCTTAACCATAATGGTTGTATATCATACCACTTTATATACATATATAATATATAAATATATATAATTTTTTTTAAAACTTTGGACCTGCTAGTTTCTTTCAAGTGTTCCTGCACTTACCCAAAATGTTTTTAAATTGTGAGGATTAAAGAGGATTGAGCCCATTTTTGTATCTTTACTTTTAATTCTGTAGTTCTATTGATTGTAATGTAGCTATTTTTTACTGTAACTCTTTGGTTTGCAAATACTAAACAAAAAACCTAAATGTAATTTCTGTGGTTTCTATTCAGCTTGGGTTTCATGTTTTAAAAATAAACGATTTAAAACCACTCTTCCTATTTACTGATTCTTCTTTTCTCTCTTTTTTTTTTTCCCCCTTGTTCATAAACCTGCCTAAATTTTTGTTACCTTTCACATACTGTGGTAGATCCATGAAGTGAGGATGGGTAATGGAGCCATAAAGTCTGATACCTAGTAGACCATGGAAGGAGTAGGAATGCGAGTGCCCTGTCCTACAGAAACCAAATTATTAGTGTCAGTCCTGCGATGTGAGACTAGTGGGGCTGCTTTCTTCCTTTGCTTGTAGGTCTCAACCTGATCGAGTTGCTGTTAGAAATCACAGACTTTGGGATTTCTAGCCCAATTTGAAGACAAAATCATTAAAACTAAATTGGACAGCTTTGAAAGAACCTCTGGAGACAAACGATCGATGCGGACATTTCCTCCAGGGGAAGCTGCACTAATGCTTTTGAAAGGCGGTGTCCTGTGCCCCCCCACTTGTGGTCTGCAGCTGGGAGGACGAGGTTTGGTGGGGGGAGCCTGGAGGGGGGCACGGTGCTGGGCTGGTGCCTGCTGGGGGGCTCTGCTCATAGCAGGGCCCTCGGGGGGCCACAGGCAGCGCTGCAGAAGGTGCAGGGATGTGGACATCAGCCTTGCGGTATGGTGACCCTGCGCACGGGGCCGTGGGGTGAGATACCCCCCCGAGCCCCCCTGCTGCTTTGTTTGTGCTGCCTGGAGCTGCAGCGAAGGCAAGTGGTTCGTTTTCCCCAGCAGAAGTACAAGTAGTGTGGAAAAGCGGTGAGGCGGGGAAGGCCACGGCAAATGGAGGTACGTGCCTTCGGTAGCATCACACGGGGAACCGGGGGAGCTCAGCGTGGGCTCATCTTTCTCAGCTCTGCCCCAGGCTATTGTGGGTTTCTTTTTAGTTCTTCGTTTGTACTGTTCTGTGATCACAGGCCCACTTTGCCGCATCTCTATCAAGTAGTGAACTAAACCCTTTACCTTCTTGTAAATCTCTTGATCTGTTTCCTGCCTGATCCTGCCAGTCAAATCGAGGGATTGATCTCCTGCCTCTGTCCTGTACTGCTCTTGCCCCCAGCCTCAGCCTGTCCATTACAGGCCGTGAGCCTTTGGGAAATTCCCCACCACCAAACTGCGGTAAAGCCAAACAGCATCTGCTGCTGCTGGATGCCTTTACACCTGAACTTGACCCCCAGGACAAGGGCTGGAGGGGAGAGGAGCCCTCCTCGTGCAGGAGTGAGGGTCTTTTGGGGGAAGAGGAAACAACTGTGGGGTGGGAAGGGGCATGGAAAAGCCCCTTGGCAGGGTTTGGTGACAGCAGATAGCTCCAGCAGTGCTGATTGCTCCTTGATCCCACTGCGGGTTAAAGCAGAAAGCTCCCAAACTACGCAGTGATGCTGTAAGGACCAGATGGACCATCCTAGATGTCACCACTAAGTGGCAGAGCCAGTCTGAAGGCCACTGAGAGGGGTGCTGCGTCCTGTAGCCCTGTGACCTGAGCTGGGCTCCCAGTCACCCTCCTCCTTGGTGCTGCAGGCCCTGCCCTGCTCCCCATGGGATTGTTTTCTGTTTCCTTGGAAGATTAGACTGGTCTAAGCAGTAATTTAACTCTTATCTTTGTGAATGCTTTTTTTTTTTTTTTTTTTTTTAAAGTGTGTGTTTGTGTGGCTGAAACCCACACCCATGCACTCGAACCCTGCCCATCAGTACACTGCAGAACCACAGAGGGCTTCTTGCTGTCTCTTGCACCCTCATGGCTGCGAATCTCAACAGACACCAGTTTTCCTCCCTTCATGAATAATTGACAACTTTGCCTTCCCTCTTTTTTTTTCTTCTGCCTAAAGTAGAAACCCACGTTTTCCATCTTCATCCATGATCTGAGATGATTAAACCTGCTCTGGTGCAAAGGGCTTGGAGCAGTCAAGGGAGTCTTATGGCACAAAGGAAAATAAAGGCTCCATCAGAGTCAGCACGTAAATATTTTACCAGGTTTATGGACTCCCACCAGGGATGGGAACATGTGAAGGCCACCTGCCCAGTGACCTTTCCCAGCACCTTCCAGCCAGCCATCCCCAGCAGCCGCAGGCTTTGCTCACCCTGCTGCTCTGCTCCCTGTCCCAGTGGGAGCAGGGCAGGGCTCTCCTGAGCAGCGCAGAGCTGGGAGAAAACAAAGGGGAGGGTGAAAAATGTGTTTCAATAAACCTTGCCTTCTGATCAGCCTTCAGTAGTGGTCCGTTAGATCTCTGTCCTTGAAGATAAGGCAGGGAGGGATGCCCTGGGGAGATGCTTTCAAACATACTTGTTCTTGTGGTGTGCTGAGCTGTGCTAACAGGAGCGATGCCTCTGGGACCTAACAGTGGGTTGGCAGCTGGAAAACCAGCAGGCAGAGCTGGTGGCTGCGGCGTGCTCGCTGGGACTTACTGACTGCGTGCCCCCATCTCCTGTCACCTCCTTGGGTGGGAAATGGCCTGTGCTATGGGTAATGTTTTCTGCTGAACACAGCACTGTGCAGGCAGCATCTGCTGGTGATCTGCTCAGCTTCTTCCATCAGATGCACTTGAGAGCTGGATTCATCGTTCTCCTTCAGGAGGGTCCCATCAGGACTTTGACTCCCCCCTGTGTCCGGGAGGGCAGCTGAAGTTGCATCTCATCTTCTCTAACCCCTCCTGAAGCACCCTTGTCCCGAGGAATGACCTCATCTCCCCATCCCACTCTGCTGTCCCATCTCTGCTTTCTGAGGTCCTGGCCTCTCCTTGGGCTGCGGGGAAGGCCAGGCCAGAGAGCTGAGTGTCTGCTGGCCCATCAGCTCGAAAGAAAAGCCTGAGCGAGAAGACTCCAATCTGTCTGACCACATGGGGCTGCTGAAGGCCTGCTCTTGGCAATCGGAAGAGTTTGCAAGCGGAGGCAGCCACAGGAGGAGCCAGGGGAGATCTGCTCCTGTCCAGCCCCAGGGCTGAGCAGGGCTCCTCTGCACCCCGTGTTTGCAGCCCGGCCTGGACCAGCTTGGTGGGTCACAGCACCGCGGTCAAGGGGGATGTGACCACCCGGCACGTTTGCCAGCGGCCTTCACTGGCTCAGGTGACCGGGCAGGGAAGGAGGGTGGCCTGGCTGCAGCCACCTCGGGTCACAGTCCAGCCACCGCGATGGGGCAGCCGGGCACGCTGCCGTGCTGTTGTGGGGTGAAGAAAGGATGGATGGTGGCAGGAGCAGAAGGACTTTTCCTTCTTTGGCCAATGTCTCTATTGCTGCAGGTGGGACTGCAGGGCAGTGCCTTGTCTCTGCAGGCAGGAAGGTCTCTGCCTGGAGCAGGCAGCATTTCTCACCATGACTTCAGCGAAAAAATCCCTGCTCTGGGATTTTTCATCCTTCCCTGGTCCGAGGAAGGGAGTGGGAAGAAGCACAGCTCCCTTCTCACGGCGAGGTGTTGCAGATGCTGTTGCTGGAGCCCTTCTCCCGCCCTCTTCTCTTCCCACCAGCTGAGCACCATGGCACCTGGAGCCTGCACCCCATCAGTCTGTCACACATGAACCACTCCAAAAGCTGCTGCTCCAGGTCCAGCATGGCTCCCCCACTCCCCAAGGGGTTTCCCAACACTGCAGCCCATCCTGTCCCCCACAAATAAGGGGTAGTCGTTGGGCTGATGTGGACATTGTCAGAACATCACCCAACACTGACCATGTGGTGCCACTTCTTCGCTGTGTGGTGTCATTGCTGCGTCCAGGGCCCGGCCTTCAGCAGGGACAGGCACAAGCCTGGCACCCTCTCTGGTGAAGCCACCCGTCTGGGGGGGATGGAGGGGGATACATCCCCTGACAAGGAGGAAGGAGCAGTTGGGCGCAGGGCTGTACAGTGGCGTCACAAGCTTCACAGGTCTCATCGGCAGTGCCGTGGGAAGTGTTTCCAGCTGCTTTTTAAGATGCTCAAGTCATCTCCTCCTCCACTCTTGGCTTGCCAAATGGCTACAGGAGCAGAGCCGGCCCCACTGGGCAGCTGAGGCAGACCACAAGTAGCGGGTGTTGGGAGCCTCAGGGTGG